AAAATATTTAGAAGGTTGGAGCATTACAAAAGGTGTGAAAGAGATAGCCACATCATCGGCCCCAACCCCATCGTTCTTCCATCAGTCAACACGCATTTGACAATCTAAACACATTAATGAGATATAGACTCAAAAAGAGTTGCATATTTATTACATTAACATATAAAACACTTCCCTGCGTCATACGGAACGTATTAGAAACGGTGCAAAGGGCAAAGGCCATGACATGAATAATCCGAAGATCCACATAACACTAATTACAGGACGTGTTGATCGGAATAATTAACGCAAAAATACCTAAAGTTAACTCATACTTGAAGTTTCCCCTCACAAGTACGTTGTGGAATTACACTATAAATACCTCATCGCTGGTTTCACTTCCATGCAACAACAAAACAAGCTAGCTAGCATGGCTTTGTATATTTCTAAAACCTCGTTCCTTCATTTCTTGATCTTGAACTTGATTCTGACATGCCTCTCTTCAGGATTTATCCCTTCAGAGGGAGAAGAAGAGTATGAAACATTCCAACAATGGATGAAGCAGCATGCAAGAATGTACCTGAACTCTGAAGAGAGTGAAAGCAGATACCAAATATTTCGAATGAATCTGAAGCATATCAAAGAGACGAATGCCAAGAGATCCAATTCCTCTGGCGGTGACTATCGTTTGGGACTCAACAAGTTTGCTGATATGAGTCCTGAGGAGTTCAAGAGAGTGTACCTTCGCCAACTACCTGCGCCGACCACCACCAACCCGGCCACCACCGCCTCGTGGTCCGGCTACGTGAAACAGGACTCCTGCACACCACCTGCTTCTGCGGATTGGAGACAGAAAGGAGCGGTGACTCCAGTTAAAGACCAACAACGTTGTGGTATGGACTTAATGGAACCCTATTATAAGAAATATATCAATTTTCCTTTTGTATGTCTCTAAAGGTTTAATGTGCTGAGAGATTAATGTTTTATGGTTCATAGGAAGTTGCTGGGCATTTGGAAGCATTGAGGCCATTGAATCAATACATGCAATAGAGACAGGGGAACTTATATCCCTTTCAGAACAAGAGCTTGTAGATTGTGACTCCGTAAGCCATGGTTGTTCAGGTGGGTCCCCCAAGAGTGCTTTTGAATGGGTTATCAGAAATGGTGGTATTAGTAAAGAAGAAGAGTACCCCTACGTAGCTCGAGCCGATTCCTGCAAAGCCAACACGGTTTTGTTTCATCTCTCTCTCTGTCTCTATATATATATATATGCATGTATATATTTGTTATGCAGAAGTATCTTCCTATTGGTGACAATCTTGCTTGAGAGACTATTGGGCATTAAATGTAGACACCTCTAATAATTTGCCACATTGTGAGAAACTAGCCTTTTTGGCTAGACTCAACCCTGTTGTCCCTCTGTGCGTGTGCGTGTGTGTGTGTGTGTGTGTCACACAATATAGCTTCTCTGTCTAATTTGAGGATTTCAAAACGTTTCCGAAGCAAAATGAAGATGGTGGCGTGCAAATTACTAATTATGCACAAGTAGATCAATCGGAAGAAGCCCTCTTGTGTGCTGTGGCTCAGCAGCCTATTACAGTATCTTTGGATGCATCAAATCTTCAATTCTATGACAACGTAAGTATTTTCTCTGTCTTCATTCAATCTTCAATATGTTTTTTTTTCTATTTAATCATTTTATTAAATTAATATTAATTGAGTGTTCTAATATATATAAATAACAAATCTTTCTTTTAGTTCGCCAGAATTTATGTACTTAGTTTAAACTTTCATATGAAACGCACCAAGCTATACGTAACCTCTGAATTTGGGACCATGCACAGATAATATCTATGACCTTTGAAACTTCACAATAAGCCCTCCTAAACTTTTACATTTATGTATATGACTCATACGATAAATTCTGTGCATTACGTATCCACACCTACAACCTAAAGTTTAGAGGGATTATCTACATATTAACCGCAGCTTGAGAGGTTATATACACACACAAAAATAAGGTTTATCATGGGGATATGTAATTGATAGTTGGAGGTAATCTACGTAGACTTAAAAGTCCAAGAGAGTTCTTGTATAGTTTAGCCTTTTTAATTTTACTTTAATAACATTTAAGTTTTTGTATAGTTTAGCATTTTTAATTTTACGTTAATGACATTTATTTTTGAATTTTCAGGGGATTTATGATGGTCAGTATTGCTCAGGGATTCAAACTACGTGAATCATGCTGTTTTAATTGTGGGATATGGTTCAAAAGATGGAGATGACTACTGGATTGTGAAGAACTCATGGGGAGAAAATTGGGGAATAAATGGATACTTCCATGTTAAGAGGAATACAGATTTTCCAAATGGAGTTTGCGCCGTTAATACCATGGCTTACTACCCAACCATATAAGATTAATGTACCGGCTAGCTAGCAAATCTTTGGTCAATTTCTCGTTTTCTTCTTGTCATGAACTCAAAGCTATTATAAATTCTAAATAAAAAGTCAGGGAAAACCATATTGAAGGTACCTATACTTTCTCTCAATTTTTAATTTGGTACCTATGTGTTTTTTTCCCTTAATTAAACATTTAATTTTATCTTTTTAGCAACATTAGCTCTTATAACTTTGTTCTATTGATATTTTTAGTCTTTACATAAGGATTAATGATGTTAATAGAGCAAAATTAAAGATTTAGTTAAGAACAAAAAACACATAGGTACCAAATTGAAAATTAAAAAAAAGTATAAGTACCTCCAATATGGTTTTCCCTAAAAAGTCATGAATTATTAACTATAGTAGATTATTAATGTGTCCTTTTTGGATGTATTGTTATAGTTATTCATGGAATAGTAAACGACATCATAAAACTTTTTTCAATCATTCTTGTGATACGCCTAATAGTTTTGACTACTCTTGTAATAGTTTTGATCTATCAAAATTTGTTAGAATAACTTATTTATCATTTTGAAATTCAACAGGTGTTTTTTAAATCATTTTTCCTATTTAAAAAAAAGGCTCATGTGCCTATAGAAATAACGTTAAGAGTACAATATAGTATAAACAGTATATCTCAATATACAATTGTGCGGTAAAATAGGAATAGTTCTCTCTTGTAGGGTGGCCAAGAAGAAGAAATAAAAGCATTATGCCAGCTATAACGACCACCGAAATAAAAGCATTACGTTATAGACTTAATAATAATGTCTTCATGATATTATTAATTGAAGTCATTTTTTTACCATTTCAAAGATAATAAGACTCTAATATGTTTCACCATAATCAAGAAAAATCTTAATTTCATTAACTTTATTATAAAATTTAATAATTTGTCAACTTTACACCTGTTTATTATATACTTTATACTAGTACTTTAAAACCTTGTTCTCTTGAATAATAAATGGAGAACACAATTGTATAATGTATATTCATATAAACGAATTTAATAATGTAACTCATATTAACGAGTTTATTAGACATTTGGACCCCAGAAGTCTTCTCCAATTAACGGTCTTGGGAGAGCACGATGTAATTTGCATGTTAATTTCAAATTTACACCGTAGACGATAATAGTGGCGGGTGTTATGTGGAAGAAGACAAATTTCTTTCATTGATTCGTTTATAAAGAATTTCATACTGGTTTAATTTATTTACCAGCCATGAACTACAATTATTAATTTTTTTTTGCCAGCCATTAACTGCAATTATACTGCTCTTTGCCTCCTTTATTTCATTATATTTGTCTTTGACGCAAAAATTGTTTTATATTTCAAGTTTTCTCCTAATTCTAAAACAACATATAATATCATTTTTCTTGTTTTACCACTGGAGCAGAATAATGTTTTTAGGAGTATTAAAAGTACTGTTAGCAATAAATGAGGGGCAAATTTGGCAAAGTATATCATATTTTTGCATAGAAAAAAATTGATCTATAAGAATATATATTCCTATAGTTTATCTCAATTCTAAATTAGATCCTTATAACTTATTTTGTTTAAAATTGTCCAATGTGATTTGGTCCGTTATAGCCTTATAGTCATCCATGAATCCTTAAATGTAAAACCTACTAATTTTAATTTATAGAATTTCATGGGATGTATGATATTTTTTTTCATATTTATTTCACACCATTTTTATCTCGTGCATCTTTATAAATGAAATTCCATAAAACTTACAAGTTAAAATTAACAAATTATAGAATAAGGAGTGAATTCAAAATAATAAAAAAAAAAAAAAACGAACCTAATTAAAAATTGAGTTAGACAATAACAATTTATGGATTAATTTTCCCTTTTATATATTTATTGCCTTTCTTAATTTGTGTGCAATAAACTAAAAGTATTTATGTAATAAAACTGAGGGAGTGTCAAATTAGTATACCATTATGTACCTATTTACTCCTCTGATCTTATTTATAAAGCAGACATAGAAAATTTTTTTGATCCAATTTATAAATTACTTCATTAAATTTTTAATAAGAATATATAGCTAGATATATTTTTTTTTTGGAAAGCTGTATATATTAAATAGGGATAAAATTTTAAAGTTGTTATATTTTAATAGAGAGTTAATGTAGTTTAAAATTTTTCTCGGTCTGTTGTGTTTTATAAATAGGACCAGATGAGTATAAATCACTTGTATTTCAAGCTTGCAATAAATACGTTTTGTACTTTCTTTGACCTATTTGCTTTATTTCTCTCTACATTTATTAAGTCAACCGTGTAAAATTAAAAGAAAAATTTATCAATTATCTTACAAGTGACTTATAATTATGAGCAAACTTTTTTCGTACAAGTGATTTATATATATATATATATATATATATATATGAACATTTTATGACAAAAAAATTTATAGGGAAGTCACGCTTATAAAAGGCCTCAAACGATTACTTTCTTTCGTGAGTTGAAGTTTCAAGACTGATATTATTTTATCCTAATCAATTCCTTTGAAGTTAAAAATAAATTTTGAAAAGGTCAGCTACAGTGACATCAAATAAATCATCACACAACAGCAAATAATTTAAGGCTTTTTATTTAAAGTTGATGATAGAGACTTGATGAGTTCATAGTAAATCATCACACAAAAGCAAATAATTAAGAAGTACATCACATAACAGATTGACAATGGGACGGACCAAGTAACAAGTGTACTAGCCTATATGTTTGGGACATAAGCCCAAGCATTGAGGGCGCAAACTCCATGTGGTAAGTTTGTGTTCCTTTTAATAAAGAAGTATCCGTTCATTCCCCAATTCTCTCCCCATGAGTTCTTCGCAATCCAATAATCCGTGCCATTTTTTGAATCATATCCAACAATCAAAGCGACATGAGTCACACCGGTTGAATCCTCGGGGCAATTCTCACCATCATAAACTCCCTAGTCAAGCGAACAAACATGTTAGAAGTGACAAGGGGAAACTGAAGATTGAATTATGATTCTTACAAATTACGCGGCTTCAAATCCTGAAAACAGCCTCTCCTTTGCAGGGATAAAGTTATGTATATTTATCCCTCACCAGACCTAACCTGGTCGGAGCTTCGTGTACTAGGCCGCCATTAACAAGATTACAACAAATATTGAATATTGAGAACTGAGATATATAAGACCTACACTCTCATAAAATCGAAGATCTGTTGCATTGAAAGCGACAGGTACAGGCTGCTTAGAGGCGGCGCACAAGAGAGCATCATCCGATTCTGGTATCTTACTGTAGCTACTAATTTTAACCACTTTGTCTCCATCATGCTGCAGAAACATATATAAATAAACCAGAAATTAGAAAACGAGTATGGTATCAAAAGAGCTTTTAACTTTCCATAAATAAACACAAAATCTAAGGTGTATATGTTGGGATGATGTTTTATGCCTAATGGATAGTGTAATTTCCTGTAAGTTTTACATAATATGAGAAAGGCAAACAAACCATGTTGGCTTTGCAAGGACCCTGCTGAGAGACATAAGGATAATCTTCTTCTTTACTAATCCCGCCATTTTGGACGACCCATTTAAAGGCATTATGGGGCCATCCACCGGTACAACCTTGGCTCAAGGGGTCGCAGTCTACGAGTTCTTGCTCAGAAAGGCTAACAAGTTTGCGGGTGGTTATTGCATAAATCGATTCCAAGGCTCCAGTGGCTCCAAATGCCCAACAACTTCCTATATATACAAACAATAAGGAAACAATCTATCAGTTCAGTCTGTTGATCTTTTCGTTATAAGCACCGAGTAACAACTTCACATGAATTAATGAAGTTAGTTAAAATTAGTTATTTCTGGTAAAATATCATAATTACCTTTAATAAAAATTATGAGTTAGAGGAGTTTGGTTAATTAGTTTGAAAGTTTTATAGTTTGGGATACTTTAGGTGGAAAAATTATTATTTTAAACAAAGCTTGTTTTCTTATAAAACATGCTAGAGGTTCACTTCAAATTTAAAAACCGTTAGTTTTAGAAACAAGATGATTGAACTTTGTTGGTTCAAAAGGAACAACTTACCACAAGATTGTTGGTCTTTAACTGGAGTCACAACTCCTTGCTTTCTCCAATCCATGGTAGAAGGGGGTGCACACGAGTCCTTCTGTTGGACATAGCCGGTGCTCGAGGAAGCCGGGGTGATGGTGGCCGGAATCTCCAGCGGATGGAGGTAGGTTTGCGTAAACTCCTCAGGACTCATATCAGCAAACTTGTTGAGGCCCAAACGATACCCAGATGGTGACTTGGATCTCTTAGCATTCGTTTCAGTAATATACTTGAGATTCCTTTGGAATATTTGGAATCTAGTGTTGCTCTCTTCAGAGTTTGGGTAGACTCTTCCATGCTCCGCCATCCATTGCTGGAACATTTCAAAGTCTTGTTCAGCCTTTGAAAGGGAAACTGATGATTCACTGGTAGGGAATCCTGAAGAGAGACATATCAGAATAGAACACCAGATCAGGGGAAAAAGGACCTGAGACATACAAGTGTAGAAAGCCATGCTTTATTTTGCTGTTTCAGTTACTGAGAAATGAAACTTCAAATAAGCTTGCATGGAACTCAATTCATCCACGAGGTATTTATAGTATAATTCTTGGTACTTGTAGAAGAAAACGACCCAAGTTGAAGTCAATATTCTTTTTTTTCATTTGACTCATGATGTTTGTTCACATTTTCCCGCTACTAGTCCTTTGATTTTATCATGAGCACGTTACCCATTCTTGACGTAGAAGAACATGTTCCACATCCGTAATTGGCGCAATGTTAATAATCTTAAGTAAGCCCCGTTTTGGGTGAATACGTTTAGTATAGAATTTGACATGTTTTAACGATTTTCGTTGCATCAAAAAATCTGTGTCTTGTTCTATGTTGCGGAAGTCGCGGAGGCCTCAATTAAAGAAGCTAAGGTACCGTGATTGTTTCTTTATGATGATTGAATCATCATTTTGACGAGATTCAAACTTGCAACCTTGTGACAATCAAGTAAATTGGCAGTGCGTGGGAGGCGGAGAAACCCAGAAGAGGGGATAAACATGATAATGACTCCAGTAATGAATTTAAGAAGCAAAAATACTGGGGTTCAAGTGACAAAAATATCCCGAGGCCAAAAAAAGTGACAAAAATATCCATAAAATATTTTACACGGAGTTGGCTTTTTTTTTTTTGTGAGGCCAAATAGCAATATATTCTTTTGTTCTTATTTTCCTCTCCATTTCCCTCCACTTCCCATTCCAATCTTAGGATAACAATTTAAACAGTCCAAATTTCATATGTTATGAAAATCAGAATAAAATGTTAATTTTTTTAAAAACATAAGTAAATAAAGTTAAACTACTAAATTTAACAATGATAATTTAAAACAACAATAAAAAATACATTATAGTATAAAATCTAGTCCGTTCAAATTGTAATCTTAACGATTGAGATAAAAAGTGAGGGAAAATGGAGGGAAAAGGAAAAGCTGAGCAATCTGTTATTTAGTTTGGTTAGGTCCATTAACCAAAAAAAAAAAAGTCAAAATGTATATATTTTAAACATCAAACTGAAACCGAACATTAATTAGAAACCGAACTGAATTAACAGAAATAATTTGGTTCAGTTATTCAGTTTACTCGGGTTTTGGGTCTTTTCTATTTCAATAAACTTTTCTATTTATTCATTATATCAAGAGCCTAAAGTGAAAATATTACTGGGGATATGCTGAAGATGCCATAGCAGCTCAACTAATACAGGGCTTCTCTATTGCTCAAGAAAAGGACAACACAAACGGTAAATATTCTTAGATTAAAAAAAATCCCAGGATTCCATGTGCAGCTTTATTATTTAAATCCTGGAACAACATGAAATATACACACACATAGTCAAAGCCAGATGTCTCATGGATCCAACGAGAAATCAATCTTGGGCTTGACTGCGAGGAGATGAGTGGAAATTGGGATGTGGTGAGGAATTACAATTTGGTTATTCAGTTATAACCGAAATTCTTGTAGGACACTGGATTGAACACCGAAAATCGGAAAAATTTGAAACAAAAACCTTTAAAAAAAAAAGCCGAACACTGAATTAACCGAACCTATAAAACCAAATTAAGTTTGGTTCGGCTTGGTTTTCAGATTTAGTTCAGTTTTGGTCATCCATATGAAAGAGACCCCTTCCCTTCGAGTCCCTCCCTCGTCCCATGCACAACCCCCTCCCCAAAGCCATCATGATATTAAATTTATTGTCATTGATTTTAAATCAAAAGTCATACTCTTTTAATTCTATTTATAAGATATAAGTAGTACTCTTTCTGTCCTACCTATAAGTCACATTATTAAAATTTTTTCTGTTGGCAAAAAAGTCATTAGATTCTTAACATAAATATACTGTTTTATTCTTCATGTATTATGCTGTGTATATTACTTGTTTTTTGTTTAAAAACTTTATATTAAATAAGGATAAAGTGAAAAAGTTATTAAATAATTTTATGACACAAATTAATGAGATTTACAATTTTTCTTGATTATTGAAAGTGACTTATAGATTAAGGTGTTTAGGTGAAAACCACCAATAAAGTCTTTGCATTGGTAGCAAAATTTGCTTGAAGCTTCAACCTTGTGTGCATGCCCTGGGGTTGCTTCAAATCAGATCTCTAGATTACAACAAGTATTATCTCAGTAGATGAGGTTGGCAAGGTGATTTGTAGTTTCAGCAAAGACAAAAAGTCGCGATTGAGGAATTGTAAATTGCAATTGCTGTACTGAGGTGCCCAATGCACATGTGATTGTTGATATTGCCAGGGGTGTCCCCCTAAAGAACACTTCAAGTGAAATTGCTTTATGTGTTTTTAAAACTTTTGATGCCGAACCCGAATTATGAACGACATGCCTCGTGCTCTATCGAGCCATCATCGTCAAGGTGCCAGTTGGGCCCAATTTACAAAGAGAAACATATCAGTAATCTAGATCCACGCTTTGAGTTGTTTTACGTGTATTAAATATATTAGTTAAATTTGTCATTTGCTATAAATGAGTATTGTTTTTATAAAATACTTTTGTTAATCATGTGTATTAAGAATATCATTTGATGGAAACTCTACTATACTTTGAGAAAGAAGGGATAAATTTTGATGACAAAGTGGATTTAGATTTTGTCTTGAGGATCAAATTGGATATCCAACTAGCTCTTATATTGAGAATGGTGGCTAGTATAGATTAGAAGTCAAATACCAACTCCATTCCTTATTATAAAACCTAGTTGATTAATTTGGAGGGATTAAGGAAATTAGTTAAGTTAGTTATTTGTTATAAATAAGTATTGTCTTTCCTAAAATACCCTTGCTAATCATGTATATTAACTACAATTACTATTTCATGAACTTTTCATATGTGCTACTACTACAAAGACTATTTTTTAAAATAAATAAATAAATAAATATGAAAAACAAAGTGGGTTGGGGCCTAATATTTACGATCAAATTAAAAGTCAAACAAACTCTTATAATAAGAAATAGAGGTAGTAGGAAATACACAAGTCCCAAGTTTTTGTCTTTTTCTTCACATGAAAGCGGAATCACACTATAACACCTTATTCCTGGTTTCACTTCCATGCAAGGTTGTTTGAAGTTTCATCTGTCAGAATCTGAAACTCCAAAAACAACTAAGCATGGCTTTCTCCATTTCTTCTAAAACGCTGTTCCTTCATTTCTTGATCAGCGGTTCCATTCTCATTTGTTTCTCTTCAGGATTCCCCACAAAGGAATCCGTTCTCCCTTCAAAAGGAGAACAAGATTTTGGATTATTCCAACAATTGATGAATGAGCATGAAAAAGTCTACCCTAGCTAACTCCAAAGAGAGTGAAGTGACATACCAGATATTCCGAAGGAATCTCAAGTATATTACAGAGACGAGTGCCAAGAGATCTGGAAACCGTTTGGGACTCTAACAAGTTTGCTGATATGAGTCCTGAGGAGTTCAAAAGAGTGTACCTCCTTCAGCTTCCGACGCCGACCGCCAACAACTCGTAGATTGCAACTTTGAAACCATGGTTTTGTTTATAAAACCAAACGGTCAGATTAACTAATCGTGGTAATATTATTCCCTTTTTTCCCTCTCTGGAACCTCAGTGGACTTAAATGGATTAATATTTCATTGTTCATAGGAAGTTGTTGGGCGTTTGCAACCTTCGAAGCTATTGAATCACTAAATGCAATGAGCACAGGGGAGCTTGTTTCCCTTTCCGAACAATAACCCGTAGATTGCAACTCTGACAACCATGGTTGTGAGCGTGGATTTACCAGAATGGCCTTTGAATGGACTATACAAAACGGCAGGATTAGTGAAGAAGCTGATTATCCTTGTGTAGCTCAAGAATTTGCAAAACCACCAACATGGTTGTTTTCCTCTCTCTCTCTCTCTCTCTAACTACTCGTTCAGTCCTTTGTACAAGATCCTTTTAATCAAATTATGAAGTTTTAAAAAAACAGTTAAAATAGCTAAAAGCAATAAATATGTAAAAGTTGAATTCTTTTTTCAAATGAGCCCTTATTTAAAACGGGAAAAACTGAAAGAGAAATACTAGCAATGAGATAAATGATAAGAGACAATATACTATGAGGAAAAAAAATGATGAGAGGGAAAAAAATTGAACAAGAGCAAAATTGAAGAAAAACACTTAATAATCAAAAACTCATAAGCAGGATCTCATAAAAAAGAACCAAACTAATTCAAATTTTGAGATCTTATAAAAAGGATTGGAGGCGGTATAACAATGACATCTTCTACATGTGTGTTCCCACTGCAAGTGCTCGGATCGTCACAAGTAATAAAGTAATGAGTAGAGTATTGTTCCCATGAAGATTTGGTTACAGAATCCAATCAAGTACTGATTATCACACTTTCGTCTAATTTGAGTTATACAAATATATCAAGAGTGAAGGAAAAATATTTTCAAAATTAAAAATTAATAAAAGAAGCAGAGAAAGTGATTCTTCAACTCCAAGGACAAAATGGGTCCTAGGATTATCTATCCCCCTTGTATTTCAAAAGTACTCAATTAAATCCCCATCATACTTGCTTCTTAATTATAGATTAAGTTAGCCAGGAAACTGAATTACCTACAGTGCTCTCTCAAGT